TTATTAACAACTTCCTAAGTAGCTTCCTCAAAAAACTCCAACGGATTTGTTAAACAGGATCTACCTCTCCTAAATCCATGCTGGCTATCCCTCAAAATGTTATCTGAGTCCAGGTAATCTACCATTTTCTCTTTGATTATAGCCTCCATAACTTTACCAGTTATACAAATTAGACTGTTTGGCCTATAGTTTGACAAATTACTTCTATCCCCTTTTTTGAAAATGGGAGTTATGTTGGCATGCTACCACACCTTCAGATAAGGTTCCTCAGTTTACCACCTTCAAATGATACTTAAATCAGACTCACCAAGGGCCCCATGCTTAAATAAACAAATACTCAAGGGTATTGACCACAGATGGTTGGAACTGGGACCTGCTGCTTCCTAATGTCCTGTTTGGAGTATGGGGGAGTGCCCTAAGCCTCCACTGGCTTCATGCCTTTCCAGTTGCTATACAGATGACAGCTCAAGGGTCTGGGAACAGCAGCCATGACCTACCTACATCACTATTAAACATGTCTAACAGATGATCGACCCGGTGATGTCAGCAGTGTGGGAGGACATGGAGCAAGACCAGTGTGCCCAGCAGAGAGCCAACACTTGCCCAGCAAAGCTCATAGAATTTCCACCATGTGACTGTCTGTTGGTTAGAGAAAGTAGGACGTGTCACCTGCAGAATAAATCAACCAGGATGCAGGAACCTTGAACAGCTATATCATATCAACCTGTAATAATGACATATAAACTTCTTTTACATACAAACTTGTATTTTCCATTTGTACTGGATGCCATCAAGCAGGCCAGCCTGACAGCCAGCCCCAGAATACGCCACCATCACCTCTCTGAAGTTCCCAATACCTGCACTACATAATCAGCCAGAGTCAGTCGTGGCCTTACAGAACTACCCAGGCCTTGTGTCTAAAACCGAGGAATGTGCTTTGTGCTACACTTCTCACTCACAGCTGCTCTTCATTTGGACCTGACCTGCAAGGGACAGTTAGATCGTTGCTGCTGAGATGGCCTTGCTGAAGATAAAGAAAACACTGACATAAATCACACGGAGCAATAAAAACGGCAGCACACCTGTCCAAAACAGCTGCAATTTGACATTAGATATACAGATGACTAATTTATTTAGACCAAAGGACAAAGCAAAGCTAAACAGTGAGATAATGGATGCAGCAGGCAATCCCTCATACTGTATGAAAGCTATGGACTGTACTGTACAGAGCGGGGATGTTTATGTGATTGTTGCCATGGAGATGAATTGGAATTTGCTGACAGGATTGAATCACAGATGAACATCCTGACACACAGGACTATGTTATATGCACCTACTTACTCAATGTGAAAAAGAACAGAAGATGGTCTTCATTCAAACACAATAAAGGAACTGTCTGTAGTCACACATATGTGTAGGACAATAACTTTTTTTTGTATGTTATTCGTGGTGTGATGGAAGAGAGAAAGCACCTTTATGTAGCAAATATGGGTACAGTCATGTACAGTATAATGCATTATAGATACCTTCATAATGCATTATAATCTAGCCATAAAATATTGTAAAGGGAATATAATATAATGGCTATAACTATTTAGAAAAAAAACATTTTAAGCCTGGTATAACACATTATAACCATGTTTATTATTCATTATGACATTATACCTTCATAATGCAGTACAAAGCATCCTTAATCCTAATACTGACTGTCATTAAGGTATCTATAGTGCATTATAGATGAGAGCTTCATAGAGCATTCATAATGCATAAGAAACATTGCTAAAATGTGTTGGGCCTTTTTATAAATAGTTATAGCCATGTTTATAATACTTTATGAATGCATTATGATGGTATCTATAATACATTTACATGGCTGCTTTAAGTAAAATGTAACAGTTTTTTTATCCACTGTTATGTTGCAGCTTGTGTTAGTAACTTGAGGATCTGACAAGCAATACAATCAAAAACAGTGTAGTCTCAATGGTCCTTAAGCAAAAAGACAACGTGGGAAACGAGTAACAGATGGGACTGTGGGCTGGTAACTGGTGGACAATTCTGGAAAAAAATGCACAGGAAGACTTATTTGTGGAGGACTGGTTAAGACAGGAAATAGGAACCAGAAAGGAGAGGGGAACCTGGAATCCATCCAGGAAACTGAAACCAGGAAACAGGAACCAGCCAGAGATGGAACATACTCGGACCTCGGAGAAGAGTCATGAATGGACTAGGATATAAGATATAAGAGATATAGGATATAAGAGATAAGACTGCAACATACTAAAAATAAGAAACCACAACCAGATAGCTTTCCAATAGATGACAGCATAGCACATATATAGGGTGGCCAGTGCCATTTTGTTCAGAAAACCTTAAACAAAAATAAGCACTTAGCAAAGCTTTCATTGTATAATTTCTGGACCCAGTGCTTCTGGGTTGCGTCAATGAATACGGGACCACGCTCATCATTTTCAGAGTGGGAAAAATGGCAACGTTTGCAGTGATTTATGATTTGTTCACTGGTGCAGCATGACAAATATGCAGATATTAGGTAACTGGATATTTACTGAAGCAATAGTTTCTATGTTACATTAATCAGAGGCAATTGCAAGTGTAGATTTCAGGATTAAGCTATGAAGATAATATATCAATGTACATTTGCAAGACAGGAAGACAAAACTATCCTGTAGATAGAGACAAAACCCAGCCTGGTCCCACTCATCTGAGTGTAGATGAGAAACGTAACTGTGATCCTGCAGATGTGTTCAGATTTTGGCAGAGTGTCCCACATATGAGATTCCAGCTGCCATAGTTCCCAGGCTCTGACATTATCAAGGACATTGTTTTTTTTCAGAGGGTGGTGTGTTAAAGGATTCCAGCTGGTCCAGCACAAAGTGTAAAATTTGATTATTCCCATGGTTATCCAGTTGGAATATTTAATATCTTAGTCATTGCAAAAGCTGCCTCTGAAATTTTCTCAGATGTTGCCGGCACTGAGATACAAACCTGTCATATCTGCCCCCCAAATGCTCCTAAACATGTTTTTACGATTCAATCGCATGATAATGAGTGGTAGTGATACCCAGGGCTGAATTTAGGGGCATTGGGGGCCCCATGCTAAAGCTGCTGTTGGGGCCCTATCTACATCTTAAAATGCTGCTGAAATATCCAGCCTTGGTGACACCTGGTACAGACAAATGTTGAATCCATCTGATGTTGCAATAGCTATCAGAACACAAAGATCTGCAGCTTCCGCAGTGACTCCCCTTAGACAAACCTGGCTCAAAAAAGTCTTATTCGGACAGAGGTAGGCTACAGGCTGCCTGTGACCCTGAAAGATGGCAGGAAATTAATTATTTTATTTTTGTTCCGTTGAACACAGCATTTTACCATGTAGCTCAATGTTGTGTCCAGTAGGTCTCGACCAGCATATAAACCAGTTTGCTGATATTAATTGATATTATGGTTTCACAGACTTATTGACATTGGCTAATAGCCCATCAATAAAGCATCAATAATATCTCTTTAATTAAACAATTATGATGGAGAAAGTGCTTATAATTTGTCGCTGGGATTATCGGTAAGTGTTACGGATCAGTCTAGGTTTGAGCCGTGACAGAATGTATGTGTACCTACAGATAATAAAGACCAAAGGAAAGTGGTTAGACATATGAAACGTGTGAGACAGTCGACCAGCTTTGGACATATAGCTAAATCTGGTCATCATATCAATCAGAAAGGTACGGTTTAATGAATTCCATCCTTAAAATTTATCGGTAACAGATGAAATGTTCATGCTGGTCAGGTCCTAGTGTCCAATGCCCACATGTTATGTTGCTTTTTTGCATTTTAAGCAAATGACTCATAAGAGGCAGTAACAGTAAGTCTTCTTTCTCTAGGGGTGCTCAGGTTCATCCTGTGGCAAGTGTGACTGCAATGGCATCAAAGGGGAAAAGGTAAGTTTGTTACTTATCTTTAGTGTGAGAGAGGATCCCATGTCATCATCACTCATCTGTCAACTCAGCTCCATTTTCTTCACTTATGTCTAACGTTTAGCAAACATCTTAACCAAGATTAACATGAATCCCTGTAACATTGTGTGTCATGAATTATAGATTTGCTTTATATGTCGTGTTGGCTGGTGTAATGACAAAGACGGCAGAGCTACTACAGTTGGCACACTGATGATTTGTGGATAAGTGGACATTGTATCTTCAGCTCCATTCCTCTTTTTTATATACTTTAACAGTCTCCCAATAACTCAACTTAAATCTTGCCGCCACAATCACCTCACATAAAAAATCACCCTTTCCTTAGCTACATCTTATTGTAAGACCTGTTTTGGAGTTTCATTGCTGTACACTGGAAATGTCATTATGTGCCTCCGTACCTCCATTTGAAAGCATCCAGGAGCAGAGGGGGCCAATGAATAGAACAGAAGCTCTCCAAAACTTTTTTTGGTTTCCCATTCTGCCTGCCAAGTAAAACAGAGCAACACAAAAGGACATAGCCTGAATGAGGAAATTCAGAATAAATAAAAAGGACACCTGAACATTGTACATTGTATCCGTGTGTGTATGTGTGTGTATGTGTATGTGTGTTATTTATATATTATGTTGTGGGGACCAAGTGTCCCCACAATGTGATAAAAACCTGTTATCTTGATGTTGTGGGGACCATTTGTTTCAGTCCCCACAAGGGGTAACTCAATTTTAGTAAAATCTGACTGCAATCAAAGCTTGTCAAAACCTAAAAATGCCAAAAATCTTGTATTTTGTTTGGTTACTTATGGTTAAGGTTGTCATTTGTGGGAATAGGGTTTCTCCTATAGAAATGAATGGACAGTGAATACAAACCTGTTTATGTGTGTGTGTGTGTGCGTGTGTAAAATCTGCTGAAATAAGAAAATTTAAGATTGTTTTCAGATTTTACTTTTGTGGTTTTTTTTTCTGTTTGCAACATGAAGCAGACTTCTGAACAAATAAAATTAATGAATGAAATTACTTATTTTGTTAATGCAATTAGTACAGAATTATCTCATTCATAGTAACATAATTTAGCTGATAAGGGCAGAGATGAAATAAACAACATGTTTATGAATGTGCATCGATATGTCAGAGATGAATTTACAGACCCAAATAAGGAAACACTGCGGGAAACACCATGCAACCATGCAGTGAGCTATATCTCCCTCTAGTGGCAAGTAGAGGGATACAAATAGCTAAACTATAATATTATGCATTGCTCATTCAAATTTTTCAGTGTTAGAAAATATTGACTGACTGTCTAGGTAACAAAATAGCTGAAATGTAAATGACAGACTTTCCCAGGACACAATTATAATAGTTCAAACAATAGTGTACATTTAAGTGTAAGCCTTATATGAACAGCTGCAACAGCTGTTATTATTACCAAAGCTATAGGACCAAACCATCCAGTGTTCAACAGATGGATTTCAGCTTATTGCTCCAGTGGTGAGCTACTGCATCCGGGATAGTTTTTTTAACAGCTTTCTGGTTGTGAAATGCTGCCACAGGACAGGGAATTTTTTCATTTATTTATTTTTTTAAAGATCTCTTTATGTACTCTACTTTTACTAGTGTATAATATTTGTTTTGCAAATTTAAACTGGTACATACTGCTCTACTTGGAATGAAATGTAATATGTCATGTTGAGAATTTATGATAATTACACTTAGATCATAACATTTTAAAATGCCTGACCTGTAACTGCTGTTACGCTGGTGACAGGGTGCACAGGGATATGCTGGTATGCAGGGCAAGATGGGCTTTCCTGGACTACAAGGAGGGGAGGGTGCAGTGGGGCCAAGGGGCCCAAAGGTGAGTAAGTGGCACAGATTAACCCTAATACGACTCTACAAATTTTCAGTTGCCAGTTTCATACAGTTAGCATTTTACAGGTTCATCTATGTTACAAATATTTGCTGGTCCAAAAGGATAAGCACCATCTGGTGTTTTTGTCTTTGATTTGTTGGTGTCTCAAGTTTTCAATGCATATAAATTTAGATGGATACTCTGCACAGCTAAGGGTTTGCAAACATTCGCTTCTGCGGTGTCGATCCAAAACGGCTAATGGCTACACAGCTGTCTACAAGTCAGAGGTCAGAGACAGTACATCTGTAGATGTTAAATACTACACACATAATATCAGTGAAATGCTGGTTTGCATTTCATTTGCCCTTAACCTACACTTTGAAAGTTGACAACTGTCATGTTCTACTTAACAGACTTTGGCAAAAAATTAAGTAATTAAACTATTATGCTGAAGTTCTAGAGGCCGGTATGGACTGTTTCTGTTACAAGGCCAATGAGATGTTATTGTTGTGTTCATCAAATGGCAATGCCATGTACACTAGTGGCCAAAATTGTGGAAACACGTCCACAATTTTTAGAGATTGCAGAACTTTACTTATTTATTTACTGTTGCTCCAGTGACTTGTTTGATTTTCTAATGTATGATATTTGTAACATTCTTCACTCGTTTATAAACATTACCACTGATATTTGTGTAGTACTTTTTAAAGTGTAATGCCAAAAATGCCCACAGTTTTGGCCACTGGTGTGTGTACTTATTTAGGATTGTTAGGTTTCTCTCTGTTTGTCTCAGTGTTTCAATTATATTGACAGGGAGATTCTGGCCACCCAGGAGCACCAGGATTGAAAGGAAGACATGTAAGTGTCTAGAATGATGGTTTTATTGTTGGTCTTTGCTCCGATTATGCTGACCGTCGGTGCATAAGACATACATAGATTGATCCCCTGTGGTGTCCGTTATAGTGATGTACCATATTGTTCTTTTTGTGTATCACAGCTTTGACTTGGTGTTTGTCATATTGCAGGGCAGCACTGGTGTACCAGGTTTCCCAGGCAACCCAGGACTTCCAGTAAGTGCTATAACAGAACAGCACTTCACAGGAACGGCAACATACAGTTGGACATTTCTGTGTGTCTAAAGGAATTAAAAGTCATTTTCAGATTTTCAGATCTGCATGGCTACCATAATGAGATGCTAAGCACATGATGTACTTATGTCTTTAGGGCCTGTCTGGTTTATGAAAGTGCACACTAATCACATTTTTTTTAATCCTTCAGGGTATTCCTGGCCAAGACGGGCCACCTGGAGTTCCAGGAATCCCAGGGTGCAATGGGACAAAGGTAATCATACGTCATTTGTGGTAATCATTGAGAAGGGAAATTTTTGCTAAACTATTTTTTATATTTTCAACCAGTTTTACGGGACTGTGCCATATCGTATTTTGTAGCACCTTAATTTGGGGAGGACAACATAATTTGGGGAGGACAACATAAGCTTCAGACAGCATGGCCCAGGAGTATCTGAATCGAAAGAATTGCATTTATTTCCTGGTTCCACTCAGGGGAAACCAGATGACCAAGCTTAAGGTTAAAGGTGCAGCCCTTCCTATGGAGACTGAACCTGCATCCTTCCTAGTTACCTTCACATATATCAAAGTGGCACCATGTGTCATGTCTTCCAGGGAGAACGCGGTTTTGATGGTGTCCCAGCACATCCTGGCCCACAAGGTCCACCTGTGAGTTCATCTGGGTAAAATTCGTATGATGCAGGAGTGAGGGGATCCCTGTTCCAATGGATTTGTGTTTGAACTGACATTAACTTCCACTGCCTGTTAATTGAACTTGTTTAACTCATACTATCCTTTATTCTGCAAGAATACGAGCATTTTTAGTCATACAAATAAAAACATAGTCATGTTTCTCATTTAATATCAGCGGTTTGCCCTGTAATCGGCGCATACAGTATATATATATATAGTGCAGCTGAAGATTTATTGTGATCTTTTCTTCAGGGTATCCCTGGCACACCAGGAATGAAGGTAAGGAAAATGGAGTGGAATTGTGTTATATTCGTTCTGTGCTAACATTTCTCTGCAGCTACAAAGTGCATTTGAATGTAAATATGGTTTTCTGTGTTGGATCTTATGTGTCTTATGACAATCTTAAAGGGTGAAGCTGGTGGGATCATTAGAGGGACAATCCCAGAAAAAGGAGAGAAAGGATTTGCTGGGCTACCAGGTCAGCTGGTAGGTATATTTAACCAGAAACTCAATTGTGTCAGTTGGTCATAATCATAATTAACATGAATAAGTCCAAAAGCAACAAAAATGAAACACTTTTGACTCTTAAGTTCATAAATCTTAAACTAAAAGTCTACTTACTGAGGTTTATATGGATAAATGCTGTATATTATTTCTAAACTGGGAGCATGTTTTATAACAGCTGTCAGTCCTAGGCCAGAACAAAAAACAAATCTGTCAAGTAATCGAGATTCAGAAGAATTGGGAGCAGCCATGGTTTTGTTACAATTAGGGATGCACCGATCCGATACCTGGATCGGATATCGGTCCCGATCCAGACAAAATATGTGGATCGGCTATCGGCAAGTACGGCCGATCCACGGGGCCGATCCATGTTCTTAGTTGAGCTGCACTGCGGTACGTCACGCGTCCATATCGCGTGCACAGCACGCCGCTAAAATTGAGCAAAGCAGCAGTTCAAAGATGGAGAGACGAAAAGAGTCAGCGATATGGAGGTATTTCACTGTAGCTACACCAGCACGTTCTACAGCTGTTTGTAATATATGCAAAACTGAAGTGTCAAGGGGTGGAAGTAGCACGGCAACATATAATACCACAAATTTAATAAAGCACCTCAGAAAACACCATGTTAAAGAGCATGCCGAGTTTGAACAGGCGACTTCAAGTAAAGGGGCAGGAGGCACGGCGCAACAACAACTGACATTATCTGAATCGCTGCAGAGACGGGAGAAGTACCCAGCAAACAGTGTAAAAGCCACCAAGATTACAGAAAAAATTATGGAGTGTATTGTCTTGGATGGTGAACCATTGTCCCTTGTTGAAAGAACAGGCTTCCGTCGTTTAATTGAATTCCTTGAAAGCAGGTAC